ACAGTGCAATGACAATATTGGCATGCTGGTAAAAATGATTGCAAAAAATATTAATACCTTACGATTGTGTTAATATTTTAAGAGTTAACAGAAAGAATTGGTTCTTTTGTGGCAAAGGCCTTTTTACCAAATCTCATTACAAACAAATACCATGTCTGCGAGGCAATATTTCTTTCCTATTAGCTAACTTCGACTAACATTAGAAAACATTCTTAAAAATTAGGCAACGAAAATTTCCCATTAAGTATAAGCAATAATGGTTTTTTAAACTCACCAATTACCAAAAACAATCTTCATTTTCCTCTCCTTTTCAGCATGTTGCTTTTTATTGTGCTGATTTTCTGGAGTCGAAGTTGATGAAGACAAGATAGCAGTTTTCTCGTAATTGAAGAACACCGATTATGAAGAGGAGAAATCTACGTCACACGCGAAGTCAGTCAAAAAAGAACAGACAAATGTCATCAAAGGACATTTTGCATATCCGTCGGTTTCGTCAAGTGACAAGAAGGTGTATACAAGAAAATATAAAGGATTGTGCCAATACAGAAACTAAGATTCCGATACCAGAATGATTTGTGGAAAAGATTCATTTGATGAAGACCACATACAGTCGAGGATATGCAGTATATTCTCGCCAAAACAAGTTGAAGTAGCTAATAACTGATGTTAGGACTAAACACTACACAGCCTTTCGTAAATGACAAATATATTTAGGGAAGGACAAAAGCAGTAGAGAATACCCTCGAAATCATGTCGACACCTAGCAGCCAGATATGTCTATTACTGACAATAGTGCGTGAACAATTAGTTACATAAAAAGTCGACCAGGCAGAAAATACACCAGGGCCTCTGACTTATACGCTTTCCAGTTTAGCAAATAACCTGAGTTGCTCGTCTAAACTGCATGCTAAATGAGGTGCTTGCTAGAAATATGACTATATATTTTCTTTCTGTGTATCTTCATAAAACCTGGCTTTAGAAATATTTAGCAGAGCAGAATTTATGGTGCTAAGTGAGCACACTGCCTGATGCACTCAAAGATAGAATATCTTGCCAGGTTACTGTTAAAAAACTGTTTTCACAACTGGTTTTGGTGACCCAAAAAGGAAGCTAAATCTTCTCGCCTTATACTCAGCTAGAGTTTTTACAAACCTCTAATATTAAGAATGACTTTTCAAACAAGGCTTTGCCTTCACAAAAGGGCCAACAACAAACATATCTAGGGGCAATGAATTGTTTTTTTGGTGGGGAGCGTTGGACAATTACTAGCCAAAACAAGAGCTGAATCCATCAAAGGTGATCCTCCTTTTCTTTTTTTAATTTGTGCATATTAAAGATTTTTGGCTCAAAAATGAATTATTTGAATGGCATTTGAACATATTCATAAATGTCTTAGATATTCAATTAGAATTCAATTTAAGTAAAGCATACACTGGCATTTCAACACACATTTAGAGTTAAATGCATAGGAAATTCTGAAAATAAATTTTACTATCAACATTTCGCAAATTTTACAAAAAGTATTTATATTTGTCTTTTTAAGAAATTATTTTTATCTAACAGCTCTAATCGATTTACTGCAGCAGTGCCTTAGCTAAGCTTCTGAAGAAAATTTGGTCACTTCTATGGTCACCGGTCACTGCTATGGTCAGTACTCTGGTCACTACTATGGTCACAACTAATGCTTGAAGTCGACGTTGAAATCTACAGATATATAGAATTCACATTGTGACAGCTGCTTTGGTTTATGGTGATATGCAGAATTTTTTTTCTAGACTTGTGGGAAGATTGCAAACATTAAAAGCAACCTTTTTTAGACTCAGTATACTCAAGGGGTATTGAACAGCCAAAGTAAACATATGGTGTCATAGAGAGTGGAAGTATGAGTCACAATTTATTGAGTTCAGACTCTCCATTCCTACTTCAACAACCAAACAGAACGACTGGCCTGTGAAGGGAAAAGGGCAGGGTGACTTAAGAAAATTTCAAACTAATCTACAGAGGAATATTTCAGACAGCCTTTTACTAGACTCTTTGTTTTTTACATTCCTGTCTTCATGATAAAGATTTTCTAACATTGATATCAAAAAAGGACCTTAAAGAACTTTGGTAATTCAACTTAAACAGAAGCTACTGGAGCCGTTGAATAAGTGAAGCAATTTCAAAATGTTGTTCTTAAATCTGATACTGTGTTGCAAAAAGGCATATTTATTTAGGGCCTGCATAACTTCATATCCAGAATTTCTTACTGAAAATGTTAAATTAAACTATTTTTAAACTACAAGGCTATCATAATCTACTCAAAGCATCTCGGATAGCATCTCTAAACATTTTTTGATATCTCAAAACACCCATGACATGTCCACAGTCAATACTACGCATCTCAGCATTAGGCCATACTTCTGCAGGACTCCTAAAGTTATTCATGGGCACATAGCTGTCATGATTGGCTGTTACAAAGATCATACATGATTCTGGGTGTGGTGGAGTGAATTTTTCTAGATGTGTAAGTTCATGAAATATAGAATCCATATAGTCAATAGTATCTTGATTGACTTCATTTGTGTTGCCACTGTCAATCAAAGAGTACTGTCTAAGAAGGTCAAAGTTGAGCTTTTCTGAAATGCTATGTACCAAACCACTTGTTAAATTGTCAAGCCTGAGCAAGGAGTCAAAATCAACTGCAAATATTCCAAGCTTTTTCTTGTCAACATCATAATTTCGAAACTTATCTGCACGTTTTGTGTTCCTCTCACCAACAATTTTGAGTAAATCTTCTTTTCCTGATGCTTCCATGTGCTTTGGAAATTTGCCAATACCACTGAGGCTTTTAGACCTGCTGTTCAATTTTTCACAATATTCTTTTGAGTATTTCTCAAGCAAGTCCACATACTCAGGTGTAGATTTTAATTGCTCTTGCAGCACATCCCAAGATACACTGTATTTCATCACACCCTTTAAGAAAAATAAATGTAAGAACAGAAAGAGAAACAATCTTAGACTTTAAAGAAATTCAAATGACAAAAAAGTAAACCTTAATGATTTGGCTGTTATGGCTGAGTCATTTCATGCCATATGGACAAAATTTTGCAGGGAACCCAAGTACACCATCTTAGACTTTTATGCACCATATGCATTTCAAAATTTGTGAAAGTTTTCATATACATTCGAGAGAAATATTCTGGAAATTTCAGTTTGATATCTTACAGCATTTCAAATTTATGGTTTTAATGTTGGTCTGCACTACTGACAAGAAATAATGAAATATATTTCTTAATTATTTTGTCAAATTTAAGCACTTTTTTAATCCCCTGCAATTCCAACTTTCCAATGATTTCCCATTATTTTTTTGCTGATTCCATTGAATTATGACCAGCATTATGAGTGAAAATAATTTTGACCATCAAAGCAAACTCCGTCCTACTTTTCTGGGGGCTCATACAGGCAAAATATTTTTTCGAAACTTTGACCCGAACCATTTAAGAGCCTCATAATTTCTGAAATACTATTTCATACCTACTGATTTGCTCAAAATAGCAGTTCACAAAAACATTTAGTTCCAGAAGCAATTTTGGGCAATTTTGGGCAATTTTGGGCTGCCATTTTGGGGCCAAATTAAAATATGATTTTTTTGTATTTTGCTATTAATACTGAGGCCAAAGTTGTTTGATGTTAATTTTATTATTTTGCTACTCTAGAGTTCCCTTGCTGGACATAGATAAATCCATTTGAACATACTTTCATTACATTGGTAAATACAGTAGAGCTGAAGAGGCCTTGTGTACCAGGGCAAAACATAAGTTATCAACTAGATGTTTGTTAAGATAAAAATCTTATCAAATTTTTGTACTCCATGTGCACCATTGTATTCTTTATCTAGATTGGCTTTGCTGTATGGGGGGCTAAAACATTGGCAATGAAAAGATGATTCACAGATGCCACTGACCAATCCATCACCACAATGCCCTCTCAATGTTCCCTTTAATTTTCAGTCCCTTTTTAATTCGGTCTTGCCGACAAAGAAAATTACAGCTTCTCATTTGACATGTAAATGTTCATTCTAATCATTGATCAGTGGCATCTTCTAGCACTTTTTATCCATGAATCTATTATTTCTTGCACTCTGAGCAGTATACCGATACTCGGTCCTACTCAGGAGGATCAATGTAGATGTAGATGTAGATGAAGATGATTTGAAGTATTACTGACGCACATAGCAGAAGTGTATAAACAAGATAAGGTAATCAGCGAAAAGAAATGGCTAAGGAAAATGATTTGAAAGAGATACAGAAAAGAACCAGATAAAGGAGGCAACAGTGGATACGTCATGCTAAAAAGAGGGAATGCTAAGGATACTCGAAGCTAGATATACCTTGAAGAAGGCCAGTTGGAAGATCAAGGCAAATAAGGTGAGCAGAGAATATCTGAAGAAACTAAATCTGAATGAAGGCTTAGCACTGGTCAAAGACACTTGGGGGAGAATTGTTGCAAGGCTGAATTGAGACATGGGAAAATGAAAGGCAAAGAATGAGGATGAAGCAATAACAATGATGGGTAATCCAATGTAAAGTTTAACTATTTTTTAAAGTAAAAATTAGAAATAAATTACAAGCTAGCTAATATTTTGCCTTGGCATACAAGTATTCAATCATTTGATAAGTAAATGAAAACTGGGCTCAATCAGAGTCATGGACTTTTAAAACTGTAAATGAACTGTTAATGAAGATGATGGCTCTAATGATGTTGAATAATAATATTTGATTGAAGTGATGTATCATCTTAAAAAAAGGATTGTGAAATATTATATCATAGCTGGGACGTTGGACCTAAGGGTCCCTTGTTCGTAAACTTTATCCTAGAGTGAGGAGAGCTCCCTGTAATTTTAAGGCGTAGGAATCAAGAGGTGAGGTCACATCGAGAGGAAGGACCAGTACACTGCTAGATAAGCATAAGCTTCTCAGTGTCCTAAAAACCACCTTTGGATGCTAGGTAGAAACAAATACAAAAACAAATTCAAAAATACAAATTCAAAGCTACCTGAGTGAACACTGGGGCAGCTGTGCTCCATGATAAGCATGGTATAATCCCAATTGGTTTGTTCCAAGATGTTGCAGAAATTGATGCCATATGGCCTCCCATTGATATTCCAGTGACACCAAGAGGTCCATATCCTTGCTTTTCACACCACGCCAACAATGCCATGACCTCGAATTTCAATGCTGCTCCCATGACAAACAAGTCACAGACATATCTCAAACCTGATTTATTCTGTCCTTTCGGCTTTCTTGTGCCATAAAATGGGTTTTCTAGAATAATTGATGCAACATCGTTTTCTTTTACTAGCGGTAATGCCATGAAGTGACGCCGTCTCCAGTAGTAATGGTCGCCAGTCCCAGCAAGATGTATACATAGCGGTTTTCTCTCTGGCACTTTGCTACTGCTTTTCTCTCCGTTCCTATTCCAGCTGGTAGGCAACACAAGTTGGAACCTGACTCTTTCGCTTTCCTTTGGTAAAGCACCCGGAAGAATTTTTGTCAAAGGTGACTTGAACTCATATTCGAAAACATCAGCAATACCGTTCTTCCCAGACCCTAGAATTTTAATATCGGATCTACGGCAAATGTTAAAACACTGGTCGATAACTGAGCCATCTCCGTTCTCCCAGGCCGTATATCTTTCATGTCTCACACTGTTCATAAGCTTAAATATACGTTCAAGCAGCCGTATATCTCCCAATCCCTTTGAAAAGAACTTAGGAGCTTGAATAGCAGCTCTGTAAATTGTATCCACTCGGCTTCCACTATTTGCAACAGCCATTTTAAGCCGTGCTAGGCCGATGACGCAACCTCGCTTGCGATATCACGCAAGCGAGTTACTACTCATCCTCCTACATTCACTCTTTCGTAACAGAGTGTGAGGCTCAAGCATACTTTTTATGGAACTTTCCAAATTTTAGTTACAGCATCATTACTGCGTACCGCATTTAGTTGAAAATTTAATCACTTGTTATCATATTTTTTCAAGGACCCCATATTGACACATTTTCTAGTTTCTTCGCATGCTTGTTCTCAGACGAAAATTAAAAAAGTTATTACAGACCTATTTGGAACTAACAGAGGTAGTGCCAGAAAGATGAAAGACAAAATGTGCCCTTTTGACAAAATAGACCGCTTTGACATAAAATTGAGAGTGTGATTTTAGAAATGCTTCCGACAGTCGTTTCGTTGCATCCGAACAGCTCTACTTTTACAAAAAGACTGACTTTCCACTTTATTCTCAAGTGTTTGCCTCTCAACTTACTGGTGTTTGTTTTTCACTTTCTTACAAGACAACACAAACTTCCCTTTTTAGAGCTTGACTAAAAAAGTGTTTGAAGAAGGGGCAAGGGGGGCAATTACCCCCATTGCCGATCAAATATCAGGGGCGTCAAAATGAACTTTCACATGAAATTTCGCCGGGGGCGCCCTTGCCAAACAGCAAGCAAACGAGAAAGATTTACATAAAGAACCCAACAATACTAAAGGCGAAAAGAACAAGAATCTCCGGGTAAGAATCACCTCGCAACACACCACCTCTTCTTCTTTCTTACTAACTTTGATGCGCTTAATAAAGATCGCCCAACACCATCTCAAGATCGCACGCTAGATCAAAATGATTTTCGCACAAAGTAGATACCAGAGGCGTACCGAGGTACGAGTTGCGGGTTGTTTTTGCGGAACCCGCCGATAGCCTACGCCGTAGACCCTCCTTCTTCGTTTGGAAGGAGGGGGGGGGGGGGGGGGGGGGGGGTCTACGGCGCAAGCTATGGGCTTGGCAGTAACTGTCCAGATTAGGCTCCATTTCATGAAATTATTGGGAGGGTACAAGGCGTTTTGATTTACTGAAATAATAAGAAATGCTAGGAAGAAAAGCTGAGAGATGATGCCCCAATCTGAAAAAAATTATGTTGTGTAAGCTGAAACTTTAACAACGACACAAGAAAATAGATTGACACCATCAAATTGTAGCGATAAAGTATTTACTCTGTTTATAGTGATGTTAATTTAAACTGTTTATCTCAGCTTCACATTGCTACATTGCGCCATGCTTACTCAGCCTCTCTCGTTTCTTAATCTAGAACTTTCCATCTCCATTACATCATCATTACATCATACCCACACATCCTTCGTCAGCAGATTTATTTTTAGAGTTAAAGTATAAATAATCGTAGATCAAGTTAGTAAGTCTCTTGAATTGAAGCAAACACAACTCGATTTTCTCTACGCGTCTTCTCAACACACCAACGGGTGAGATCGTTTTAATTTACTTTTTGTTAATAGTTCTCAACTGAAGATAAAGGTACGAACTATTAAATTGGTAACCACGACGTTCTTAACGACTTTCGAACACTTGTATTTTACATATTTACATCTCGTGCATACCTCGTTTTCTGGTTCTTTCCCGTTTCACTTTCATCATGAATGATAACCCAGCCACGACCAGTTCTCCTAGTTCCTCGTCAACACCATCAAGCACCGCTTCTCATGCCGTTGCTGCAGTTAGCATCAAAATTCCTCCATTTTGGCCAAATGATCCTGCAGTCTGGTTCGCCCAAGTTGAAGCTCAATTTCTTACACGACAAATCACTGCACAGAACACAAAATTTGCCTATGTCATCTCCTCTCTTAGTCCCGAAATTGCTCAAGAAATCCGTGATTTAATTCTTTCGCCTCCTGCTGATCGTCCGTACGACACTTTAAAAACGGAACTTATCAGACGTACATCCGCCTCAGAACAACAGCGATTACAACAGTTGCTGATCTCCGAAGAATTAGGTGATAAGAAGCCTTCCCAATTCTTACGAAAATTGCGACAACTTTTAGGTGACAGCCCCTTAGAAGACGGCCTCTTGAGACATCTTTTTCTCCAACGTTTGCCGACAAATGTAAAACTCATTCTTGCCTCCACTCCAGACACTGTCTCCATAGATGACTTGGCCTCACTTGCGGACAAAATCTTGGACGTTGCTCCTCCGCAGCACTCCCTGGCAGCCATATCTCCATTTCCAGAGCCCTCTGCACGAAAAGAGATTGAAGACTTGCGACTCCATGTAAACAATTTGACCACCCAAATGACCAATGTCATTAGTCAACTACAGATCTCGTCTCGCTATCGTTCTCGCTCTCGCTCACGTGGTCGAAGTCCCCCACGCTCTGGTTCACGTAATTTCTCCAGTTTTTCTACCTCATCAGGCCCATTTTGTTGGTACCATCAACAGTTTGGATCCGCCGCTCGAAAATGCAATCCACCATGCTCATTTAAGGCCTCTGCTTCTCTTCACCAGTCGGAAAACTTCCAAGCCAGAGACTAGCGGCGACAAGTCCAACTGGCCATCAACACAACAGTCGCCTCTTTTACATCACAGATCGTACAACTGGTACACGTTTTCTCGTGGATACTGGCGCTGATGTGAGTGTTTTTCCTCCAAGTCCTGCTGAAAAACGTCATATTTCTTCATTAATTCTCCAAGCTGTCAACCAATCCACCATCTCCACTTATGGTGAAAAATCTATGACATTAGATCTCGGACT